GTATGTGCCCTGACTGGGGTCTGAACCCGCAACCTTGGTGTATCCAGACAATGCTCCAACCAACTGAGCTACAGGGCCAGGGCTGAGAGTCCAGTTTTCTGAAATATACGTGCATAGAAAAGATCTGAAGGACGTAAATACCGTGTTCATAGTGGTTAAGTTTTCCCGTATTGTCTGCATTTTTCAGAGTGAGCCTGAATCTTTTATGAGCAGGAGAGGGGGAGTCAATAAGGGAACGATCATGCCTTGTGCAGAGGGGTGAGATGGTCTTGGTAGTGGGGAGCACCAGAGTGTGGAAGTCAGGCTGGTGAGAGAGAGGAGTCCTGGAGACTGCAGACAGATTTTGTCAGACCAAAAAAGACCATGGGATTCTGACTCAGTGGCAGAGAGTCAGAAGGGACAGGTGGAATGAGTAGGCCTTAGGGACAAGCAGCAAATTCCCAAGCCAGAAATCCTGGCCTCCACACCTAGTGAGACATGACCTATGCAAATGGGGCTTGGCCCAGACCTGATGAGCCTGGTTTCCTTGAGCCTCTCAGGCCATCTTGGTTGCTCACAGTGGCCAACATCTCTATGGTGTTTGGAGGAGAGTGGGGGGAGGCAACCCAGGCCCTAGCAAGCTGATAGGAAAGTTGTAACCACCTGATTAGTTGAGGGGTTCCTGTGTACTAGGCACTATGCTAAATGTCAGATGTCTCTCTCTTAATCCTCACCTCAGGAGGAAGTTCTCTTATCTCGTTTATAAAGCCAAGAGTCACAGTCAGGATTAGAACAACTCTGAGGCCAAAGCCTGAGCCCCTTCTCCCAAGCTACTTCCTCAGTGTACCCCCAGGGGCCCCTCTCCTTAGCTACAGTGGTACAAAAGCAGACAGTGAAGAGGGAGTCTCGCATCCCGGAGTACCCCAGAGAAAAAAGCGCTTGATGATACTTCCAGAGATAGTCCCCGCATTTACAATATTCTGTGTACCCCACACACACACCCAGGAGCTTAGGATCATACTGTACACCTTGCTTTTTCACTTGTCTTGGAGCTGGTTCTATATTAGCCTATAAGATCTACCTCATTCTTGTTTTCACTGCTGCGTGATCTTCCATTGTGTAATGTACCGTGATTCACGTGGCGAGTGCCCTGTTGGTGGGCATGTAGGTTCTTTCCTGTCTTGCTGTTATAAACAACGCCATGCTGAGTACCAGGTACTCTCTCCTTGGTATGTGTGCCACTTTGTAGGATAACTTGATAAATCAAAGGGTAAGTGCATTTGATACATTGATTGAAATTGCAAATATGGTTTCCAGTATGTGTATGAAAATGCCCATTTCCCTGAATCCTCTATAAAGCTATTGTTTTGTTTTCTGATCTGATAAATGAAAAAATGTTCTCACGTTTTACGTGTGAAACTGGCTGTTGTGTCTTATGCTTAAAAGCCATGTGTATTTTCCTCTTTCTGTGAAATTGCTTGTTCAAGTTCTTTAGTAGTTTTTCTGTTGGGTTGTTGATCCATTTAAGAATTGATTTGTACAAACTGTAGTAAAGAAATTACTCTTTTATCTGCCATATGTGTTGCACATATTTTCCCCAGTTTACAGTTAGTCTTTTACTTTATTTTTTTTCTGTGGATATTTACATTTTAATGTCAAATCAGAGACTTCCCCTCTTCAAGACCATACATTCTCCCATGGCAAAATTTGACTAGTCCTTTGCGATAGGTCCATTTGAAATTCATTTTGGAGTAAGGACTGAGTTGGGTCTTGGCCCCGCCTCTGCCCCTTTCCTCCTGGGTTCAGAAGGAGGAACTGAGTGAGAGAACCACCAATATAAAGGCACTTCTTTGCTTCTAGAGCTGTCCAACCAGAGTCTGCAGCCAGGGCCCTGGTGGATTTGCTGAGCCTGCCTCATGTTTGGTGAGCTAGGGGTAGTGTGGGGCAGGGATGGGAATCACAGGGAAGAGGGCAGCTGTAGGAGGAAGAGGGGGGATCCTGAGGGGCAAAGGTGTGCTGGGATGGAGGTGGAGAGGGCTGCAGTCGGGGCTGGAGGGGAGATGGGTAGGGAGGACAATGCTGCAGTCCGGCTCTGGGAGGAAAAAAGGCGAGGCTGCAGTCTGAGGTCAGCAGGGGAAGTAGGTTGCAACAAGGGTGAGGAATGACTGGAGTGTGGGGATGAGGTCAGGGCCTGCAGGGAAGTACAGGCAATAGGGATGGGGGAGAGCAGAGACATGGTAGGGGGTGGCGGGCAAGGGCAGGAATCAGATGCAGTGTGTGTTTTTGGAGCAGAGGGGGTTGAAAAGGAAGGGATCAGATCATGTTTGGGCACCTTCCAAGACCCTGAGACCCTGGTCCTGCCCATGTGATTTCTCTGGCCTTGGGTGGGTGGGATACAAATCAGGCCATGCTTTGGGTCAAGATTATTTTCTCAAAGTCCTTGTGGTAGGGAAGAGGGCATTCTAGGCTGGCCCTGCCTCTCACTTAACCAACAACCTAGGACAAATCTCTAACCTCTCTGAACATTAGTCCTCCCCTGCCTCCACCCGGGTGTAGGGCTGGGATGGAATGGATTTGTAACCATTAAAAGACTGCCTGGTTGAACACACCTGCCATAGTCCTGGAGGACAGGGTAGGAATGGATAAAAGAAAACAAAGCCTTACTTGATTGGGAAAACATTTTTACTTTCACAGTTGATCACGGGATAGAGTTCCTGCTGACTGCCTTGCGCATAGATGTCGATGGAAGAATCTGTAAGCAGCCATTCCTTTTTGTCCCCTGGTGGTGGTGGACCCTGAAGGGGGCAGAGACCAGAGCCAGCCAAGGCCTCAGTCCAGCACAGTTCTGCTGGAGCTGGCTGGCTTCCCATCACCACTGCTAGAAGATTTACACATTTATCTGAAGCTTAGAGTAATAAGCAAAGGCCTTGGCTGATGGGACAGGGAACAGGTCAGGAAGGGAAGATGTGAAGTTATTACTCAGACCCTAGAAGGTAGAATCTGTTGAGAATAGAATCCAAGGAGCCGGGTGGTTTTGTGTTTTGTTTTGTTTTGGGAGGCGGCAAAATTGCACTCAGAGACTGTTCTGCCTTTTTTGGCAATTTAGCACAGGTTCACTGGGAATTTCATAAGCTAGTAGCATACAAATAATATCTCTTAATGAGTAAAATAAAGAAATAACCTCGCCCTGGCCAGTTTAGCTCAGTGGTTAGAGCATTGGCCTGCGGACCAGAGAGTCCCGGGTTTGTTTCCCGCTAAGGGCACGTACCTCAATTGGGGCTGTGTGGGTGGCAACCAGTCGATGTGTCCCTCTCACATCGATGTTTCTCTCTTTCTTCCCTCCTCTTCCCCTCCCCCCCCCCCCCCCCGCTCTATCTGAAGATAAATGCAAACAAACAAACAAAAACAAAGTGTCTTCGGGTGAGGATAAAAAAAAAAGAAATAACAAACTTCAAACAAATAAGAGATGAATAACACTATTGTTCCAGGCAAGGGGAGATGAAAGGTATAAAATTCAAATCTAGGTCAGTGTTAGTGCTGGCAAAGGTGAGCTGGGATTGGATCACAGGAGTAAAGATTCTTCAGTGACTGTATCTGTGGTGACTGCAGATTTTGCATGAGAAGATTAATAAAGTAAGAACTTTTATGTAAAAAAAAAGTTCTGATTATAGTGATTTAGTCATTTATTAGCCAAATGTCTATTGAGTGCTGACTATATTTTAGCCACTGTTATAGAAGTGGTTATACAGTGTTAAGAGAAAATCCTTACCTTAAGTTTATATTCTACTGAAGGAGACAGCAGTTGAATAGACTAAGGTCAGTAGAGGGATATATGCCAGCTAGATAGTCCCTGCTTTTGGATGTGCAGAGAGCATGTTTTCTAGATTTAATCTCTGACACTTGCATTTTGAGATCTGAAATATGGATAATAAAACCTAAACTTTACTTTTGTATCTGATTAATGGATTCAACAAGTGTTTATTAATACTCTCTCTGCCACACACTGTGGTAAACATTGGGTTGTAATGGTAAATAGCATCATATAACTGGATAGGTTGTATAGAGATGAACTGAGTCCTTCATAGTTGCCCTTGGGTGGAGTGTTATCTGTGTATCTCCCTAATAATATATGAAAGTGGACGTGTGCATTTAGGAGGACACTGCCGAGAAGGCCAACTAGAACTGGAATTTCTCATAAGGGGTGATAATGGAGTCTAAAGGCCAGTGAAGGCAGTAGCCAAGGGAGTCAAGTAAGGATTGGGGGTGGGTTTTGAAGAACCAGTTTGCCTTGAATGGCCAGGATGGAGGAGAGTAGGTAAAGGGGAGGGAGAATCTTCCAGAGGGGCAGATTCTGGGGAAAATCCAGGGTTTGGATCAGGCGATAGGTTTCAGAGAGCAATGGGAATTCATTATGTTGGGGAGGACGTGTGTGAACAAGAGGTCAGTGTTGGGCGCCTGGACGGGGAGCTTTCCCGTCATTGTAACCAAACAGCGGGTCCTTGCAGGTTCTTCTTGCAGGTTCTTCGCGGCAGCTGAGCAGGTGGGACCTGCTGGTGCCTGCGCGGACGGCCCGTCTGACCCTCCCCGCACCGGCTCCAGCCCTGACGCCCCAGCTGCAGTTGTCCGGAGGGCGCGTGGTCACTGTTCGGGGCATCAGGGGCACGCGGGGTTTCGAGGGGAACCAGGTCCCAATCCCCTTCTGGGAGGCCCGTGGGGATGCTCCTCCCGCGTCCTAGAGAAGCAGCCGAGAGGGGGCGCGGGGCCGCGGGTGACGCACTACCGGCCGCGGCGCGCTTCCGGCCTGGGGCCGTCAGCCCCGGGATTCCCGCGCCCCTGGGGCCGCAGCGAGGGAGCCCCTCGGATCTCGGTGAGCGGGGCCCAGGGGGGGGACCGAAGCGGCTCCGCAGCAGTTCGGGCGGGGGCCGGAGGCTGGTGTGGGAAGCCTGCCCGGCCTCTTCTCCCGGGATCGCTGCCGGCCCTGCGCCGCCCGCGGCCCGAGGAGAGGGAGTGAATGAAGCGGGAGGACGGATCCCAGGGCCAGTCCCCCCGGCCGGCCGGCGCTGCAGCTCAGAAATCTCACGGGAGACGACAGTATTGCTCAGCCCACCGGTGGGAGTGTCGAGCCTGGTTGTGTAATTCCGGGGGTGCGAGGGCTGCGTGGGTCCCTCGAGCGGGACTGCCGAGAGACCCCTGCTTTCCTTTCTCCCCAAGGCTCGGTGGACAGCCGGGGGTCACAGCACACGCGCAGACGTCAGCGCTTCCATGACGATCCCCGCAAGATTCCCTGGGAGCCCAGGGGCGGGTACGGAATGAGGGAGCGGCGCTGCCGGCGGAGACGCTCCGGCGAGGCTGGATGGTTTCACATGTAAGCAGGTGTTTGGGGCTTTACGCGTACTGAGCACCTCACAGGCACTGCTTGAAGCAGTTGTGCTAATTAACCTTCTCAAGGACGCATTGTCTGTCATTTTTAACGAGGAAGTTGGGGTACAGAGACATTGCTAGGAAGTGACCCAAAGCTGCCGAAGAGAGCGCTCCGTTGTCCAGCCGCAGCCTCGGTGAGTAGTGCGAGAAGGCTTCACAGGAGAGTACGTTTAAGTGTGATCTTATTGAAAGAATTGTGGTTGCAGATTCTGGAAAAACCGCACTTGGCTTGCCCAGAACCCGTCAGCTAATTATTGTGGGGGCAAAGAGAGAGCAGCCGGGAGGACCCTTAGCAGTACAGGAGGAAGCCCACTCCCAGTCACTGTTAACAGGATGAAACTTAAAAACTCCTTTCCTTTTCCTTTTCATTATCATACCCATCTCACCCCAAGTCTGGATCCAGACAGAGCCTGCTAGTATCTTAAAATCACTAACAATCAGATTATTCCATACTAGGTGTTCGTGTAAATACCTGTACATTTCTTCCTGGGGAACTTACAGACCGCGGGAGGCAGCAGTCTGTGCTATATGTTTTTGTAAAAATGTGTTCTTGAAACAGCTAAGCTCACTTGTTTACATATCTAGTTCTGTTTTCAGACTATAAAAGCAAAGTGAAACAGCAACCAAGAGACCATGTAGCCTGTTCAGCCCAGAAAGACCAAAATATTTACTTTATAGCACTTTACAGAATAAGTTTGTTGTTTGACATAAACTGCTGACAGCTCAGATGATCCATAGTTGGGAGTGGTTGTCACCAAGAAGTCTTCTCCACAGGTTTTAGGATCAAACATATTAATAACTCAACTCCTGCTGAGTGCCAGATTATTGTAAATGTTTGATATGAATTAATTCATTTAGTCAAAGATTCACAGAATGTTAGAGCTGGAAGGACTCATGAATATTATCTAATTTGTCAGCCTGTCATGTAGGCCCAGTCACATAGGCTATGACAGAGCACAGTTTCCTGACTCTCAATCCAATCCACTTCAATCTTATTCTGAATGGGAGGTCAATACTATATCCATTGGATCTGGCTTTTGTGTTTGTTTTATGCTTTTTTGGGGGGATGTTGAAACCCATTAGTGAGATCTGTCATTTTCAAAATAACTATTTCTCTGACTATAAAAGTAATGCATGTTTATTGTAGGTTAAATATATAGAAGAGTGTACAGGACAAAGTAAAGTAACCTATTAAATGTCCTAGAGATCAGTGTGTTAACATTGTGGTAGATTTTCTTCTCTCTTGGGTGTGTGTGTGTGTGTGTGTGTGTTTTGTAAATATCTGTGTATTAATAACAGTTTCTGTTTATGGAACGCTTACAGACTGTTTATAAACTAATGCTGGTTTATGTGTGCATATTTTTTGTTTTAGTGTTTGAATCCTGTTTTAATGTCTTGTATTTTTTCATGAATATTCTTTCAAAATATGATTTTTAATAGTTTCAAATTTTATTATATTTATAAGCCATCAATATTTATTTGCCTGTTTGTTTTGTTTTTACAATTATGGTAAGAGTGTGATCTTTGAACAAAAAAATCTCTGTGCCCCCCTCTGATTATATTTTTTCACTTTTTATCTCATTGTAGAAGTTGTTTATTTTTATAGGAAAACTTTCAAGTATTACAAAAAGATAGGCCTTAAAGCAAAAGTTTACCATAATCTTATTCCTCAGAGATGATCATAGTTAAAAATGAGATATATAGGTTGACCCAGAAAAATGTATACACACTTTAACAGCTGATAACTACCTTAATTTTTACTGCTTCTCAGGTTTAACTGATTTGAAATAATAGTTGAAGCCCATCTAAGCTGTGAACAAAGAAAATTTTCCCACACGACTTTTTATGGGGATATCTAAAAGATAAAGTTTACTGCCCTGGCCAGTGTGGCTCAGTTGGTTGAGCTTTGTCCCATGCACCAAAAGGCTGTCAGTTCAATTCCTGGTTAGGGCACATACCCAGGTTGCATGTCGGATCCCTGGTTGAGGTGTGTACGGGACACAACTGATCGATATTTCTCACATAGCTGTTTCTCTCCCTCTCCTTTCTTCTATCTCTAAAATCAATAGGAACATATTAAAATAAAATTTTTTTAAAGTTTACCTTACTAAATTGGCAACAGTTGATTAATTAAGGGCAGCATTTGAAAGAGAATACACACAAATTCTGAACAGAATGGTTCTTGATGTTTGCTATTCCATTGCTTGACATCACCACCCAGTGCCTGGACCAGAATGGTCTTAAGTTTGAAAACAAGTGTTGACAAAAACAGTTACTCATTTCTGTAGATTCTTTTAAATTTTGAAAATGAATTGTATGTTGCCTGGCCAGTGTGCTCAGTGAACTGAGAGTCATCCCGTGAACTGAGAGGTCCAGGTTTGATTCCCCGTCAGGGCACATGCCTAGGTTGTAGGCTCAATCCCCAGTGAGGGGCATGCGGGAGGCAGCTGATTGATGATTTTCTCTTACAAATATGTTTCTATCTCTCTCTCACTCCAAAAAAACAATAAATACATATTAAAAAAAAAAAAAGAAAGAAAATGAATCATATGTTAATAAACACTGACTTTATAATCATTCAAATTGTGTATACATTTTTTGGGGACACCCTTTATGTTAGAGATTTAAGTTAGTTTTTTAAAAAAAGACAAAATATAGGTAATAGAAGAAATCGTGTACTAGAGGGGGAAGTCATTTAACATATCATAGTGATTATCAATTTTTCTTCTTGATCTTACTCATATGCATATTTTAACATATACAATGTTATGTTATACTTGAAATTTTAATATTCTGCATTTGTCCTATTTATATATACCGTATTTTCCCAAGTAGTCACATGTTTTTATTTTTAATTTTTATTTTAATATATATATAAAATATATATATATATATATATATATATATATATATATATATATATAATTTCTACCAAGTGGAAGTACCATAATTTGCTAAGTTTCAGTGTCCATCAATAGAAAATTGTGTTTCCTATAACATTTTAGGGGATTTTTTTTTTAACAGTTAATGAAAGGATCAGTTTTTTTCCTCTCTAGGGAGTTACTTCTCTATGAAAAAGTTCTAATATTTTAATTACTGAGTCAAACAATGCAGGCATTTTCATAACACATGCCGATGACTCAGGATCTTCTGAGGTCCACTGCAGGTATTATGTACACGATGAGTATTCTCATCTCAGTTCCTATACCCACAAACGGTGATCACTGTGTGCCAACTGCAGATGAACTTACAACTTAAGATCTGATACGTATTGCTGAATTACCTCTAGAAAGATGGTACCAGTTTACATTCCCCCCAGTAATGTGTGAGAAGCTCTTTTTCCCTGAACCTTTACTGGTATTCAAAAACTCCAATTTGATATCAAAATTGAATCTTCATTTTTCTCAGTTTCCATTTCTTTGATTATCCCTGAAGTGGAACTTGTTTTGATGTTTACTGGCTTTTTGTATTGGTGTATTTGTTGTGATTACAATTTTTATATCAGTTCATCTTTTCCTTACTCATTAAATGAGTCTTTTATCTATTAGGTATATCTACTCCTTGATGTATAAATCGAAGTACTTTCCTAGATTGTCTATTAATTTTGTTTGTATTTTAGATACAAATACTATTGCTTCTCTGTGGCCAGTTTGTCTTTGTGGTTTGTGCTTTTTTACATAATGCTTAGAAAAGGCTACCCTAAAGTTAAAATTAATCATTTGTCAATATGTTATTTGGTGGTTTCATTTTTTTTGTATTTAACCTTTAATCAGTTTAGATTTATTTGGGTATATGGAATGATGTAGGACCCTCACTAGGTGTTTTTTCTGGGTAGTTAAGCAATAGTCCCAACATAATGTATAAATAATCAATTTTTTATTATTATAAATGCCAATTTTAAAACATATTAAATTTGTTTATTTTTTTCTTCTAGGGGAATTGGGCCTCTCTAAAATAAAAAACTGGAGTTAAACTTTTTTTAAATGTGTAAACTCACTGTTGAGGTTTTCCTAGCCACAGCACTTTGGTGATTTTATTTGTCACTCCAGATTTCAGTTGCTCTCTTTATGACAAGAACTCTAAATACAAGTTTTCAGCACATACCTCTTTCCTCTATTCCAGATACGTATGCCTACATTCTTTTTTTTTTTTTTTAAGATTTTTTAACTGATTTTATTTTATTTTTTTTAGAGAGGAAGGAAGAGGGAGACGGAGAGAAACATCGATGCAAGAGCAAACAATGATTGACTGCCTCCTGCATGCCCCTGACTGGGGATCGAGCCTATAACCCCAGTGTGTGCTCTGACTGGAAATCACCAGCAATCCTTGGCAATCCTGCAGTGTATGAGAGGATGCCCAACCAGATGAGCCACACTGGCCAGGGCTGTGTGCCTACTTTCTATTTGGATACTTTAAAACTAAATGTATCTTCTTCCTTCCCAAACCAGTATTCCCATGCGCACTAAAGATTACTGGAATCATGTACCAAAAAACAGCAAATTATCCTTTACTTCTTCCTCTCCCTCACCTACCCCAGTATATATCCACACCTGTAGATTCTGTCTCTGGTTACTTCTGGTTAAATGTCTTAAAAATAGTTTATGGGGTTATATTTGGTCTGGCCTTTGCTTGACTCAGGCTTCATGTCTTATTTCTGGTGGACTTCCTGGGTCTTTTTCATTCTTCCAAAGTACTGAGCTTGATTCCTTTTGTAAGTTCTGATTTATCTCTCAGGTATATTCTTTTCCTTCCTCGTGTGTCTACTTTCTATTTATCTCTTCTTCAGGGAGACTTTTTCCCTCCAGGCTAAATGAGGTACTCTCTGCTCTATATTCCATAGCACCCCCATTTCCACTTTTGGAATTCTCATATTTGTAACTACTGGTTTAATGTCTTTGTCCAGCTGTGATGTAAGCTCTGGGCAGGCAAGGGCATGTCTGACTTTTCCTCCACGACAGCTCTGATTATACCCAAACTCCAGTCTACTTCATGAGTCTCTGTAGGATTGTGTGGTGGGTCCCCTTTATGTCCTACTCTGAAAGAGGAACAGGAAATACCTGATAGATTTAAAACTCAACACAGAAGTCCAGGCCTTCATGAGAAGTCCACAGAACCAACCTTATCACATACTGTAGTAGGCATAGCCTCTTTCCTGCCTCTGAGCTCTTGGCTCTAGCAAACCGTCTCTGTCTTTCTTGGAATAATGCTGCCAATTCTTCTCATGTCAAGGTTATATGAAGAGACATTTTTGGATAAACTTTTATAATTTTGACGTTCCAAACACCATAAACTCTGTACTATTTTTGCAACTTTTTTGTAAGTCAGAAATTATTTCACAGAGTTTTTAGTTAAACTGAAGCCTTCACTCTTATATTCAGCTGTTCCTGAAGAAAAACTGTTTGATATGACATTCAGAAGAAAGGACAGTCAATGTATCTCTAGGTTGTAGCAAATGGAGTTCCCTAACGACTATTTAGCTTCTTGGCACATAGTGGAGATGGGTGAGCCAGACGTAATGCATTAGCCTTGTGAGGCCATTTTCCCATGAAACTTTTGATTTATTAATTGGCTTTTGATATAGATTATTGTATAATGGGCAGAGTATACTAATTAACATGAATATTTATATCCACTTCTGAATTATCTTTATCATTATAAATAACATTCATGATTATTCATCAAGCACTCGGGTGTTTGTTAATATGTCATTCTGTCTAGCTCTCACTTCTTGGAGAATTAACAAATGGAGTTTGGGAACCAAGAAGGCTGGAAGCCAACCAGGATTCTTGCTGATGCAGTCATATTGCTGACCTGACAATTTTGTGGGTCATCAGAGAGTCTCCCTAGGCAACAGCTCTTTCTCATTTTTCTGTTTACTGGGACAGTGATATGCTATCCTCCACCTTTTTTTATTTTTACCTTTGCCTGTGAGCAGGGCTCCCAGTTTTCCAACCTTGAAGTGTTTTACAATTAAAGCAAGGAGAAGATTTGTGGATGTTGAATATGCAAGGAGCCGAAGAGAGAGAGATTGGAAGAGAGATTTGTCCAGGTGAGTGAGCAAGGGACAACCAGTGGGAGAAACAGCAGGGTTTGGGGAATTTTACAAAAGAAACTGAAAAAAACTCAGGAGATAAAACTGCCCTCTCTATTAGGGATGTTGGGGGTGAATGTGGGTGAACTTCTCTTGGGAAACCCATACTCATTTTATCTCTCTCAGTTCCAACATTGCTCTTTTACATTATCCCACTATCCTCTATTCTTTGAATATAAAAGATCCATGTTTTCTGTATTTCCCTAATCATTAGCTTGTTGTTTCTCCCTTATCTCCATTGTCTCTGGTTCTCTCAATCTCTGGCTGTCTGTAGCTGCCTTTTCCATGGGGTTCCTCATTGATGGTGATCACCTTATCCTGATGTAGATCTCTTCCACCACTTGCAATTTTGAATTACTTGCCCCACTTGCTTTTAAAAAAAAAAATGTTCTTAATTGATTTTTTAGAGAGAGGGAAACATCAGTGTGAGAAACATTGATCAGCTGCCTCCTGCACACCCCCTACTGGGGATCGAGCCCACAAACCAGGCATGTGCCCTGACAGGGAATTGAACCCAAACCTGTCAGTACAAGGGATGATGCTCAATCCACTGAGCCACACTGGCCTGGCTGCCCCACTTGCTTTTATTGGTTTTTACTGAGACCTGCAAAGTTAGGTTTCAGAACTTTAGGGGCCTCCACTTTGCCCTACATAAGAGATATTTATTCTGATGGTTTCTTTCAGATTGGGTGAGCAAACCTGCCCCAGAGCAGGATATCTCTGAAATTAATTCACCAGCGACAGTAGGAAAGAGACTCCAAGGGGGTGAATCCCAGAATTCTACATTCAACACAAAATATGCATGTGACAGCATGAAGGAAAACTCTCCTGGAGACATCCCTGGGCCGTGCTTTTTCCAGGAAGGAGGTTTTGGGGGAATAACTTTCATCCACAAGGAAGCACCTCCTGAAATGATTAGCCATGAATATAATTATGAGAAAAAGTTGCTTTTGACCTCAAGCCTTGTTACTCATCTCAGAGTTTCTACAGAAGAGAGTCTACATCAATGGGAGACAAGTAGCATACACACCAATGAGATTTCAGAACGAAGTAAATGCTCAGCACTCTCCACACAGAAAAAGTCTTGGAAATGTAATGAATGTGGAAAAACGTTTACTCAGAGCTCATCTCTTACCCACCATCAGAGAACTCATACTGGAGAGAGACCCTATACATGTGAGGAATGTGGAAAAGCCTTCAGTCGTGGTTCATTCCTTGTTCAGCATCAAAGAATTCACACTGGAGTGAAACCATACAGATGTGAACATTGTGGGAAAACATTTCGATGTCGGTCATTTCTTACTCAGCATCAGAGAATCCACACTGGAGAGAAACCTTATAAATGTAATGAATGTGGGAATTCCTTCCGCAATCATTCACATCTCACTGAGCACCAGAGAATTCACACTGGAGAGAAACCTTATAAATGTAATAGGTGTGAGAAGGCATTCAACCAGAACACACACCTCATTCATCATCAGAGAATTCACACTGGTGAGAAACCTTATTTATGCAATGAATGTGGCTCTTCTTTTCGGAAACACTCAAATCTTACACAACATCAGAGAATTCACACAGGGGAAAAACCCCATAAATGTGATGAATGTGGGAAAACGTTTCAAACAAAGGCAAACCTCTCTCAGCATCATAGAATTCATACTGGGGAGAAACCCTATAAATGTAAGGAATGTGGCAAAGCTTTTTGTCAGAGTCCATCCCTTATTAAACACCTGCGAATTCATACTGGAGAGAAACCTTATAAATGTAAGGAATGTGGCAAAGCTTTTACTCAGAGTACCCCACTCACTAAACATCAGAGAATTCATACAGGGGAGAGACCCTACAAATGCAGTGAATGTGGTAAAGCCTTCATTCAGAGCATTTGCCTTATTCGCCATCAGAGAAGTCACACTGGAGAAAAACCCTATAAATGCAATGAATGTGGGAAGGGCTTCAATCAGAATACCTGCCTCACTCAGCACATGAGGATTCATACTGGAGAGAAGCCCTATAAATGTAAAGAATGTGGGAAAGCCTTTGCTCACAGCTCCTCTCTTACTGAACATCACAGAACTCACACTGGTGAGAAGCTGTACAAATGTAGTGAGTGTGAGAAAACCTTCCGCAAGTATGCACACCTTAGCGAACACTACAGGATTCACACTGGTGAGAAGCCTTATGAATGCATTGAATGTGGAAAATTCTTCAGACATAGCTCAGTCCTTTTCAGACATCAGAAGCTGCACAGTGGTGAATGAACTTGGCTTCAGGTTAGGGCAGTTTCTCAAGGAGTTGTGGGTAGGAATCTGGCTGAGGAGAGAGGGCAGGTAGAATTTCTGGAGACTAGGATGAAGGAGCTCTAAAGACTGCACTCCAACGAGTATTTTCGGAATATACGTGGGGGCTGGGAGAATGCAGAGCCCACTGCAAGTGGGCATCCAGGAGTACAGGGTAGGAAGGAAGTTCCTGCTTTTCAGATAAATCCTTGCTGCTTGTCACTCATCTCTCCCCATGTGACTCTCATACCTTGAGGTGCCATTTGTTAAATCAGTTATTGTGTTTCCCTTACTACACTCCCGGCCACCTTCCCGAACTGTCATGTATGTTCACTGACCCGTTGGCTGAGGTACTTGTCCAAACACTGTCATTATGAAAGTGGCAGCAGGTGCGAGGTCTTGCTAAGTAGCCTCCAGATGTCTGAGGCAGCTCTAATCATACTCCTGTGGGGGGCACTGTTCAACCTGTGGACGTGGTCCCATGAAGGGGAGACGGAAACAAGTGAAAGGCCAATGCACATTCACTTAACAATAAGGAGATATATGGCAAGAACTGGGCTGATCTCTATATATACGTTGGTAAAGAAGGCTTCTATCAGGGTGAAGGAATTTTTCCTGATCCTTTTAAGCTGGAGAAAGAAATAGGAAAGCAAGAGAGAATTTTCTTGAGTGAAGTCAGTTTTTGTTCAGAGGGCCATGGAGAGGAAGGCCCAACCTCTGTCTCAGAGGAATAGTGGTCTACGCAGGATGGAAATGGCCTGTGCTGGTCACAAGAGTTCACAGAACAGGAAACTTGCAAGTGACTGAGCAAGCCATCTGCATACCCTTGCCCTGGACTGAGATGTACACCTGCTTCTTGTACGTTTGGCTGGGTCACAGGTTCACAGGGACTATGGGAGAGGGACCCACTAAGATGTACAGTGTCTAAACAAAGGGGAAAGCATTAGTGAAGAAGGAAGGCAGCGTTTTAGGTTGGCTGGAGTTGGGGGCTGCAGCACCAGACCTTAAGAGTGTTGATCACTGCAGCCAGAATGTCATATAATTAATGCCATTGATGGCTCTAACATAGATGTGTTAGATCTCAGGTGTTTGTATTTTTATTGGGCCTATCTTGTTCCTGGATATTTACCCTTACTGCAGACTAGGAGTATCTAGGGAAACACTCTCATTGGCTAAATTTGGAAATAATTCTAGAGAGGATTACCTCTTTTTCAAATCCCTGAAAATCAAGATATCCCAGGTTGCCAGACTGACGGTATTTTATTTTGAGAGAAAGGGCATGTTTTTCTCTTTCCTCACTTCCTTTCATGTTTTTAACTGCTACCCAGATAGCCTTTGACAGGAAATAATTTCTGTCCTCTGAAGCTTAATAAAGTTTTTTAAATATGGCTATTAAAAACAACTAAAGTAACTTAATTCTGGAATGGTTGATTATTTGGAACTCAGCATTGATTTTTTTCAGGAGCAACATTACATACACTTTTCTCTCTCCAGCTGTGAAGATATGTTCTCAAAACATGACACATGGCAATTTATAATTGAGTAAATTAATAACTTATGGACAAAAAATATCCCTATGGAAACTTTCTATTTTATGCTCATAACAATACATATAGTCTACAGAAAGCAAATGTCAATGTATTTATTCCTTGCAAATGAAAACACTATAGAATTTATTGCTGGCACATAGTAAATGTTCAATAAACATTTGTTATGTTGATGTATTTAATCAATCTTTGCCCACCAGAAACTAGGACATTCCTGATGTGTAGGTATTTAGCAAAATATTTGTACACTCCTATTTTTGGAGCCTTGAATGGAGATTACAGAGGATACGGAGAGTTTTCTTGAGGAAGAAATAGCAAAACAAAGGTCAAAGATGTCTTAAATTCTTTTAGAAAGATTTTCCAAAATGGAATGGGCACAACTCTTGAGTTTTTAATCTTCAGGATTACAGAGTCTGGTACCATTTTCACTTCCTGGGGAAACAGGAAGGAAACACCATCTTCCCACTGTCCTCATTCCATATTCTCATACTTGTACATATTTGTTCCTAATTTCTCAGTTGCCAGCCCACTATGTACACAGTCCTCCAGCTTGGTCCCAAACCTAGGAATTGCCCTCTTCCTCAATCTTTTCTCTCCTGAGTCTTCATACCCAATCAACCCCTGTGTCCTGTTGACATCTCCTAAATCTGGAAGCCGTCTTCATTGCTATTACTTTATTGCAGCTCCCCGTTTGTTTCCTGGACTGTTTTTGTATTTTCCTAACCGGTCTTTAAGTTTCTTGCCCCACTAAGCCATCTTTCACATTTCTTCTAAATGGTCTTTGGAGGGCAACTGTGGAAGCTATATTGTTCTTTCTCTAGCCCTGTAAAGAGGCATCTCCAAGTTACAGAGGCCCTCCTCTGTCCCATGCCTAAATCAGCATTCTCAGTTGCCATTCCCATCTTGCACATTCTGTCCCATATTGTAAATTATCTCTGAGTTCATCTATTTTTAATTATTTCTGTATTTTGTATCATTTTATTTTCAGGTTATATACATTGTACTGTCTTGTTTACAACTATCTCTGTTCCCACTAAACTGTCAGCTCCTTCAGGCCAGGGGCCATGAGATATTTATCTTTGACCTCAACTAAAATATTGATCCAGACATTTCTCAATGCCACTATGTGACTCAGGTCCATGGTTACCAGCAGAAAGGAGGTATGTATTGACTGTGTGCATGGGATGTTTGCAAGAAACAGTGATTCTGCATCTTTTTCCCAAGTTAGTGTATGGTTGTATTAAGCAGAGGATCCCATAAGAAGAAACATTCTGTAACAACGTTTTTTGTTTTGCTACAAATTAGGCATTAAATGTCCTATCACAGTTTAACAATTCTTTCAGATATGTTGATGTCAGAGTCAATAGGCAGAGGGAAATGCATGCAGATGTAGAAGCATAGCTATGTCAACTGGAATATCCTTGAAGTAAGCAGGAGCTGAACAATGATGCTGGCCCTTTTTGGACCTCAGAACCAGACCATCCGGCATGTGAGTGAGGGTGAGAAATAAGGTGATTTTGCATTATGACCCTGCCTTCCTACATAATGCAGAAATCGAGTCTTGGTTTCAGATGGTTTCAGTTTTACTCCCCTTCAGCTGTTGGTCACAGCAGGGCTAAGGTAATTTTAATTTTGTGGAATGACTTTGGTGTCCATCCTTCCTATTCATTTTTCAACTTTGAGTGAAAAGCTCAACCCAAAGTGCAGAAATTTCATTTTTCTTTATTGATTTTAGAGAGGGCAAGGGAGAGGGAGAGAGAGACAGAAACATGGATGAGAAAGAACGTCAGTTGGCCACCACCTGCATGCCCCCTACTGGGGATTGGACCCACAACCTGGGCATGTTTCCTAACCAGGAATTGAACCCGTGACCTCTTGATGCGTGGATTGACACTCAACCACTGAGTCACACTGGCTGGGCATGCTCTGCTCATGTCTTTATTCTTGGAATACACCAGTTAGGAAGAGCCTTTATGTTTAAATATTTCCTGAAGACTACAAGACCTGGAGTTAGGCTAAAGGGGGGCAGGGACCCTAACTTGAGGGCTAGAAAGGTCACGCTAGCCAATTAACAATGAGGACTGGCTGGAGCTGGCATTTGAGGAACACGTGGACAAACATTTACTGAACCTCTTTTTTTTTTTTTAAGCACCAGAACCTGGTAATGTACAGGAATTAAGTTCATTTAATCCTCACAAGAACCCTATGAAGTTTGGTACCATTACTCTGTTTTGTGAGGAGACGCACTGAGGTCAGATAACGCCCAAGTTCACACACTGAGAACCTGGGACTTGGCCTAGAGCAGCGCTCTTGTTCTTTTGGTCAGTTGTTGAACAAAGACCTTGAAGCAGTAGGGTATGTGGGGCTCCTGTGAGGGGGCCACTTTTCTGGCGGGGGAGAATGAGTGAGGAAGGTTGAAGCCAGCTTTGTCAAGGCCTCCAGAGGATCCCCAAACAACAGTGACCCAGAAAAGAGATTTTAGGAAGATAAGTGTGTTGCAGGGTGAATTAACCCGTAGTAAGAGTTCCTTGTGGTCGGCCCCCAATCCCACTTCCGTTCAACTTCCTTATTTCAGAAAGAGGCACGTCGGGATGGGTTCGCGGACTTTCGGGAGCGGGTCTCCTGGGCTGGATAGCAAAACTCCAGGCTCTGGACCGCGGAGGAACCACCGAGTTGAAGCCGCTCCCGCCTTCCTAGAGAGGAGACGGCCGTGGTTATCGACCGCGGCGCAGCTCGTGACGTCACGCCCGCCGGGCGCCTCGGGGGCTTGCTCTGCAGCGCCCCGGTGCGGCGGAGCGTCGTGAGTGGGCGTCGGCGGCGGCGTGGGAGCCCTGCCGAGCCCGGTCTACTTTGCCGGCTGCGGTGGTTCCGCCCCGACGCTTCCCTCGACCAGGGTCCGGCGGGCCGCAGCGCCACTCCCTTCGGGCCGAGCAGGGACCTTTGGAGCTGAGGCCCTGGGATGGGAAGGGAGGGGCGAAGGCTGTTCGGGAGCCCCGATCTGGGAGTCGGGAGCCCCGATCTGGGAGTCGGGAGCCCTGGGTTCCGTTGATAGGCACTCGATCGAGCAAGCGGACCTCTGGGTACAACTTAATTTTCTGATGGCCAGGAGCGAATGCTGTCCCTTTGCCACTTCGCGGAGCTGTGCGTGTTGAATGAATATACCTATGTGAGTTACCGCCTTAAGTTTTTATTCTCCAAAAGCAATAGAATAGATGCTGTATGAAGAAATACAGACTCAGTGATTTAACAGCAGGTCGTATTTATTGACAGCTTACCTGCCGGTATTGTTCTAATCACTCCTTAAGCAGCCTCATAACCGTGTGAAGTAACTGTTATCTCCATTTAACGATAGAAAACGAGCACAGAAAGGTTGAGTAGCTTACCCAAGATCACTTAGCCGATATATGGTGGAACAGGGATTCGGTCCCAGAGAGTGCCAGCCCCAGAGCGCATGCTACACTGGGCTTCAGGTCTATGGAGGAAGACAGAAGTCATCAGAGTATTCAGAGTGGGAAGTGCTACAGTGGAGATGTGAAGTGCTTTCAGAATGTTGAGGACGAAGTGCCTTGAGACGTGAACATTTTTCCCCAAGGAAGAGCCGTGGTGGTTCACATTTGACCTGAATACTAAATTTTACCATGACTTTGAAAATAGTTTGTTCAGTGTCAAATAAGAGGTGCGTATGGATTGGGTTGGATTAGACTGGGAACCAGGTCTATGTCTTTTAATACAGTATTTTCTATTCAGAGAGGTCCTTAAAACCCTCTTAGGAGGGGGCTCCTCAACATCTTGCTACAGACTCCCCTTGTCCTTTTTGGAGTTTCTGCTTCAAACAGAGACAGTTTTTCCTGAAATCTCTCCACCTCTGACTGTGGGACAACAACTACTGGGGAGTTTCCCTGCTGTTAACAAAGCCCATTCTCAAAAGAGATGATCTCATTCATTGCTTGACACATAATAGCTGCTCAGTTTGTACCTTTCACTTTTTTTTTTTTTTTTTTAGAGAAGAAGGGAGAGACAGAAACATATTTGTGAGAGAAACATCTATCGGCTGCTTCCTGCACGCCCCCTACTGGGGATCAAGCCTGCAACCTGGGCATGCTCCCTGACCAGGAATGAAACCCGGACCTCACAGTCCGTGGGAGGATACTCAGTCCACTGAGCCACACTTGCTGGTCTCAGTTTGTACCTTTCAAATAAAATGCAATAGCCAGCATCATTCAAAGATGGATTGGAAGGGCTTGATTTGAAGTTTTTGCTGTTTTTACATCTGCTTTTTTAAATCAAAGAATCACAATGTTGGTACTAGAAGAAGCTTTAGGTATTTATTTTTTTCCATTTGTTTTCACAGATAAGAAAAAAATCACAGCTGAAGTTGAGTGACTTACTTCCAGTCATTGAACAAGTTAGTGGTGGAGTGGAGACTAGAGTCCAGATCTCTTTACTCAGTTTAGGGCTTGTCTCACTGCCCTCTGCTGGGGCCCTACAGTCTTTGACTTCTGAAGTCAGCGTCTTCTCTGTTAGATCCGGGCAGGGATGAATGGGGAGAGGGGCTTTGGGCTCCAACCTTAGCTCCTGTGGAAGAATTTTTAACCCAGGATGCTTAGTCCTTAGGAGCACCTGCCCTCTTTCTTTGTGCATTGTCACATCTCTCTGAAGTCTACGCACGCACTGACCTTCTTGTCCTTCATGATAGGAGAACAATGATATTATTTTATTCATACATAAAATAGTCATTTGGTTAGGGATGGGATATTCCTGGGTTCCACTGAATCCAGAGTACGAAGAAAGTAGGCTGACAATTTGTGATACTCTTTCTCCTCCCTCTGCCTCAGATCCTTGTCCTTTCTCAAGAGAAGAGTCCCCAGGAGATAAACCAGTATCACTTGTGTTCCTAACAGCCTGTCTCTGGGTAAGTGAAATTGAACCAGAGAGCCCAGGATGAGTGTTATGTGGTAGCAGACCTATGGGGGTCCACCAGTGAGCACTGGAGCTAGACCCTTCAGACTGAAAACAGGAACCACCCAGAAATGGGACTGTCCTATAGAAATCAGAGTGCAAGTGGCCTATTGTGAAAGAAGGCTGTGACATAATGGGTTACAGGACAGATCAGAGGTTACACTAATTTTTTGTTATCACATTCTTTTTTTTTTTTTTTAATCCTCAGATTATATTTTCCCACTGATTTTCAGATAAAGTGGGAGGGAGGGGGAGAGAGAGAAACATCAATGTGAGAGCCACACCTCGATTGGTTGCCTCCCACCCGACCCCAACTGGGGCTGGGAATTGAACCTGCGACCCTTCTGTCCGAGGGCTGATGCTCTAACTACTGAGTCAAACCAGCCAGGGCTAAGACACATTCTTTAGTGTAAAAAGGGCAAATTGGATAGCAGCACCTATAGAATTATTTTATTTATTTAGAGAATCAAATGCTGTGTGTGTGTGTTGAAAATATGTTAAAAAAAAAAAAAAAAAAGACCCAAAGAATATACTTCAAACTTAATAATGATAATCTCTGGGAAGGGAATGGGTTTGTTTAGGTAGGGTGGGGTAGTGATGATTATAAAAATTACTTTTTTTATTCTGTATACTTCCACATTATCTAAATATTTTTAAGTGAGGATGTATTTATGTGTAACATCATTAGAAAACGAAAATTAAAAGGAGCTCTGAGTAAGAATGTGTTCATGTCTCCAGCATCACCCTGGGAAAGGTTGCTCTCATGTGCAGTACCTAAACATCCATTCTCTGATGCTGTGTGCCTTTATTCAGGGCACCAGGGTTTCAAAGTTTGATGCCATTAGGATTGTCTAAGTATTTCTTTCAATCTCTCTTTAATTATGTGTTTTCCAAAGAGTGTTCTGATAACAATGATTTGTTTCCCATACAATTTTCCTATAATGGAAAGAATGTGTTAACCAGCTGAACAATGGGCATAAAGTTTTTTCAATGTAAATTAATCAAGTGACTTTCTGTTTTCTACATCATTCTCCTTTAGAATTGTATTCATATACATCAAATTCTGAAGCATTTCTTTGGCTTCAGAGGCGAGGGCCAGATCCTGGACCATGATGCTGTAGTGAAGCTACTGTCCAATGGGAGCTTCTTCCCTAAGAACCATCTGAATCTTACATTTCTGCAAACAAGACAGTCATATGTTATTTTCTTGCAGTAAGCAGGACTCTAGTTTTCAAACCTAGAGACTTCCCAATTGTACCTCGGGGGAGAGGTAGAGGTGCTGAATGTTTTGGAGAGGAAAAGAGGTCCAAAGAGACCTATCCGGGAAGGATTGCTTAAATGGACCTAGTGAAAGTTACAGCCTGGGTCACCTTTCACATCTTGAGAGAGAAACTCTTTAATTATCACTGATCTGCCAAGATATTGCTTATGGGTAATCTAAGGAAATACAATTACTTCCATCTATTTTTTGAGGAGTAAAGACTATATAAGTGGGTAGTAATTTTCTCCAAAAGTTAATTTACCCAAGATTAGTATACTTATCTTATTCACATTCTCCTACTATTTATCACTGTTTGAACCTAAGTTACCTGGATTAGTTTTTAGTATTTGGGTGTTTCAGAGTCAATCACTATAAGGAATTTTACAGATTTCCCAAGACCTGTCACCACTTAATCTCTTTCTCCCTATCACCTCTTCTGATCTTTTCCCAAGGTCACTGTAGTCTCCTTTCTCTATTATTGAAAAGGGGATAAAAATCAAGACTCTATATGCAGTTCTCTGTTCTGCACAGAGGACATTTATCTTTGTGAATTTTTTTCAGGGGAGAAGCCCACCCTGGATGGCACAGCGTTAAATGACTTGAGGAAGGTGTGGAGTCAGAGCGCCTGGTCACTGGGGGTTCACCTTTGGGGAAACTGCAGCAAGCTGGACAAGACTAGGAGGGGAAATCCTGCAGGAATCGTTGAGAGGACACCACCTGTGCTCATACACACAGCCTTTCCCAGAACAGTGTTACTCTGACAGTAATTATGTTTGAGAAAGTACCTTGTAACTAGCATGAAATTGAGAGAAAGTTTCTTCTACACCTGCACCTACTGGACAGACACCCTTCCACTGTGTTACAGGCAGCATGAGTTTTTACCAGATTCCACTGCAAATGAAACATCAGACACTTAATATGCAGAAGAAACCTTCAAAGTGTAGTGAATGTGGAAAATCCTTTACTCAGAGATCATCTCTTACTCAGCATCAGAGGATTCACACAGGAGAGAAGCCCTTTGCGTGCAGTGAATGTGGAACTCGTTTCCGTAAACAGTCAAATCTTACTCAGCATCTGAGAATTCATACAGGAGAGAAACCTTATACGTGTAATAAATGTGGGAAAGCCTTTCCAACAAAAGCAGTCCTTGTCCAGCATCTGAGAATTCACACCGGAGAGAAACCCTATAAATGTAAGGAATGTGGCAAAGCCTTTTGTCAGAGTCCATCCCTTATTAAGCACCTACGGGTTCATACTGGAGAGAAACCTTACAGATGTAAGGAATGTGGCAAAGCCTTCAGTCAGAGCATATGCCTTACTCGTCATCAGAGAAGTCATTCTGGGAATAAACCCTATAAGTGTAATGACTGTGGGAAAGCCTTTACTCAGAGTGCGTGCCTTGTGCAGCATCAGAGAATTCATTCAGGGGAGAAGCCCTACATTTGTAGTAAGTGTGCTAAAGCCTTCGCTCAGAACGCTGCCCTTGTTGAACATGAGAGAACTCACACTGGAGAGAAACTTTATAAGTGTAGTGAGTGTGACAAACCTTTCCGCAAACAAGCTCACCTTAGTGAACATTACAGAATTCACACTGGAGAAAGACCTTATGAATGTGTTGAATGTGGGAAATCCTTTAGGCACAGTTCAGCCCTTGTTCGACATCAGAAGCTTCATGCTGGAGAATAAACTTTGGATATAACCAGTGTGGAAAGACTTGTGTGGAAACTCCATTTCCCCCTAAATTCTTAGTTTTAAGACTCAGTCTTCAGTTGGGTTGGATATTTTGTATGTTGAGCAAGAGACAATGTGTCCTGAAAGTTAAGAAAATAGTCTCAGTATAAGATAGCCTTGAGTTTGATGCCTTCTCTGCCACTTTCTATGGGTATGACCCTATCCTCTCTGAGCTTCAGTTTTTCCCACCCCTCTACACCAAAGAATAATGAGGATACTTGCTAGGATTGTCTTGAAATAAAACGAGCTGTACATAATAAATAACTGCCATTAACTGGCTTTGAGTTATAGATGTTCCAAAAGTTTGTAAGCGTGGCTATTAAAAACAAGCAAAGGTCAGCATTAGTTTTTTTGTTGTTTGTTTGATTTTGTTCTATTGTATTTTTCCTTACAAACATTCTTGACATTTCGGCACCATTGCCACATCCTAGGATTTTCGCCTCTTCAGTACTGGACATGGGTTGCCCTTGATAAGCCCTGTCCTTGAAAAGGGCATCAGGAAGGCCCCAGAAAGATGTTGGCTTTTGGAAGTGATGTGCCCTTCTCAGTGCATCATATTAAGTCATGTCAGTATGACTTATTACTGGTAATGGTACCTTTGACCATTCAGATAAGGCAGCATCTTTCTGGTTTCTCCATAAAGCGACTAGCTTTCTTTTGTACTTAATGAGTATCTTGGGGAGACAAACTTTGAGACTGTAAATAATCTGCTTTTCAATATTTTTGGCCACTAATTTTGGCATCTTTTTTTTTAATCCTCACCTAAGGATATGGTTTTGTTTTGTTTTTTATCCTCACCCGAGGACATTTTTCCATTTTTGTTCAGGTAGAGTGGGAGGAAGAGAGAGAGAGAAACATCGACGTGAAAGGGACACATCCCAGGGCCGGGGACAAACTGCAACTGAGGTACGTGCCCTTAGCGGGAACCGAACCCGGGTCTCTCTGGACCACAGGCCGAAGCTCTAACCGCTGAGCCAAACCGGCCAGGGCCTAACGATATGTTTTTACTGATTTGAGTGAGAGGAAGGGAGAGGGAGTGAAAAAAGATCAGTGTGAGAGAAACTGATTGTTTGCCTCCCGTATGCACCCTGACTGGGGATTGAACCTGCCACCTTTTGGTGTATGGGACCGTTCTCTAGCCAACTGAACCACAGCAGCCAGGGTTAGTTTTGACATCTTTTTTTTTTTTTTTTTTAGAGGTAGAGTGGGAGGGAGGGTAGCGGGAAGAGAGAGAGAGAGAGAAACCTCAAGGTGAGAGAGACACATCCATTGATTGCCTCCCACTAGACCCCAGCCAGGCCGGGGATTGAACCTAGAACTAAGGTGCACATGTGTGACTGGAATCAAACCTGCGATTCTCTGGTCTGTGGGTCAATGCTCTAACCACTGAGCTAAACTGGCCAGGGCATAATTTTGACATCTTTCGATGAGTCTGTCCAACATCACTTATTTATTAGTTTCCTATGGCTGTTGTAACAAATTATCACAAGCTTGGTGGCTTAAGAGAACAAAAATGCATTCTCTGAATTCTAGAAGCCAGAAGTTTGAAGTCAGTTCCATTAGGCTGAAGTCAGGGTGTTGGCAGGGTTTTACTCCCTCCAAACACTTTAGGAGAATCTGTCCCTTGCTTCTTCCAGCTTCTGTGGCTGCTGGCATTCTTTGGCTGGTAGCCACATCATTCCAGTCTCCGCCTGTCTTCACATCGCCTTCTCTGTGTCTAATCTCTCTCTGCCTGATGGGTTCTGGATAATCCAGGATTATCTTTTTATCTCAGGAGCTTTACTTTAATCAAGTCTGCAAACACTTTACCTTAGAAAATAACATTCAGCAGTTTCAGGGAGTAGAACCTATCCCTTTGGAAGCTGCCATCCAATCCACTGCAACTTATTACCGTGGAATTTGCCAAGTGGTGACTTTCTATTTTCACCATTTCTTCTTTCCTCTTATTTAATATTTATTTATAACCATACAAATGTTCATTCTTTGAGTTTCAATCTACTACTATCATTTATTTTCTTGTTCAAATTGTTCCAGATTTGGCCACTGGTAATTAGCATTCATTCTACTGTAAAGACCCATCCCTTCTCCACTTATAACCTTTTTTTTTTTATCCCCACTCGAGGACATTTTTCGATATTTTGTTCAGATAGAGTAGGTGGGAGGGAGAGAGAGAGAAACATCGACATGAAAGGGACACATCGAGTGGTTGCCACCCACATGACCCAACCAGGGCCGGGGACAAACCACAACCGAGGTACGTGCCCTTGGCGGGAACCAAATCTGGGGCTCTCTGGTCCGTGGGCCGATGCTCTAACTGCTGAGCCAAACCGCCCAGGGCAAGGAGCCATGCTTTAAGAACCACTGGTGGATTAAATAAAACAGAACAACAACAAACACACATTAGAGAAACATTCTCTTTCATTCTAACTACATTTATAATCCTCTTAATATGCTATGTATTGTTCTGGGTACTGAGGATAGTGGTGAATCAAGTCTCTGCCCTGAAGATTTCCACATCTAGATATACTAAAACATTAAAATTTGCAATAATTAAAACAGTGTGATGTTGGTGCAAGAGTGGATACATCAATGATACCTGTTAGAAAAATACTTGGCTTTATAACAAGTGAATGTACATTAAAGATAGTATTGCATGCCCGGCCAGTGTGGCTCAGGACTGTCCCATGGACTGAGAGGTCCCGGTTGGATTCCTGGTCAGGGCACATGCCCAGGTTGTGGGCTCGATCCCCAGCAGGAGGCAGCTGATAGATGTTCCTCTTACACATCAATGTTTCTATCTCTCTCCTTTCCTCTCTCTCTCTCTAAAAAAAAAGAAATTAATAAAAGCCCTGGCCAGTTTGGCCCATCGTTTAGAGTGTCGGCCCACAATCCAGAGAGACCCGGGTTTGGGCCCCATTAAGGGCATGTACCTTGGTTGCAGTTTGTCTCCGGCCCCGGTTGGGGTTGTGCAGGAGGCAGCCACTCGATGTGTCCCTTTCATGTCAATGTTTCTCTCTCTCTCTTCCTCTCTCTCCATCTCACTCTATCTAAAAATAAATAAATAAATAAATAATAAAAAAATCAATAAAAAAATTAAAAAAAGAACTGTGGACTCCAAAGAGATTTTTAAAAAGAAAGAAAAAGACAGTATTGCGGCCCTGAACAGTTTGGCTCAGTGGCTAGAGTACTGGCCCATGGACTGAAAGGTCATGGGTTTGATTCATGGGTTGCAGGGTTAATCCCCAGCCCTGGTAGGGGTCGTGTGGGAGGCAGCCAATTGTTGTGTCTCTCTCGCATCAATGTTTTTCTCTCTCCCTCCTAGGAAGACAGTACTGCAGAATGGCTTCAAGCCTAAGTTGTATAATTTAGAGACAGTTTCAGGGCTCTGTAGTCCACTCACTTGAATCATTTGAGTATTCTTTACATTAAATCTTTTTTTTTTATCCTCACCAGAGGACATTTTTCCATTTTTTGTTCAGAGTGGGAGGGAGAGAGAGAAAGAGAGAGAGAGAAACAATCTACATGAAAGGGACACATCGAGTGGCTGCCACCCGCACCATCCAACCAGGGCTGAGGACAAACTGCAACCGAGATATGTGCCATTAGCAGGAACCAAACCCTATCTCTCTGGACCGCAGGCCAACACTTTAACCACTGAGGGCTACATTAGATCTTAAAATGGGGGAAAGATAGATGTGGCAGCAAATTCATGATAGGGATGCTCTGAAATTTTAATTCCTGATGCTGTGGCTGGGAAAGGGTGGGACCTTGACAAGCCCCCAGTTTTGGCTGACTTAGAGTAATGAGGAAAATTGTTAGGCTATCTACTCCCCAAATTAGAGAAATCTCTCATTCAGATGGTCTTTCAAGTGAGAAACACATGTGGTTCTAGAAAAGTTACTATTCAAGAAAAAATATACCAAAATAAATTCCAGAGGGAACAAGTTTAAATGTAAAAAATAAAAACAAAGCACAAGAGAATACAAGTGATTTTTTTTTTTTTTTATCCTCACCCGAGGACATTTTTCTATATTTTGTTCAGATAGAGTGGGAGGGAGAGAGAGAGAGAAACATTGACACGAAAGGGACACATCGAGTGGTTGCCACCCACATGACCCAACCAGGGCCGGGGACAAACTGCAACCGAGGCATATGCCCTTAGCAGGATCCCAGCCTGGGTCTCTCTGGACCGCAGGCCGATGCTCTAACCGCTGAGCTAAACTGGCCAGGGCCCACTTGTCTTTCTTTACATACATCAGATCCTAATTGGTATCAAGATCATTTCTATCAGATCCTCACTTATACAAGACCCACTTGTTATCTCACAAGTTGCCAGAACTGTCACAGGGCTACCCCTGGCAGGAGCTTGGAAGTATTCTTTTTGTTTTTTTTCCTTTATTGATTTTATTTTATTTTTTTTATCCTCACCTGAGGACATTCTCTCAATTTTTGTTCAGATAGAGCTGGAGGGAGAGAGAGGAAGAGAGAGAGAAACATAGACATGAAAGGGACACATTGAGTGGCTGCCACCCGCATGACCCAACCAGGGCCAGGGACAAACTGCAACCGAGGTACATGCTCTTAGTGGGAACCTAACCCAGGTCTCTCTGGACCGCAGGCCGACTCTCTAACCACTGAGCCAAACCAGCCAGGGTGGAAGTATTTTTGACTACACTCATTATCATCTCCCTGACCCAAAGTGGGGTTTTGCTAAAGAGGACGATACAGTAGGGGATCTGTTTAATTATAAAATCCTCTGTAGCTATTCATGTTAGGCTTTGAATTTTATTGACATGGAAAAATACTCACAATATAATGTCAACTGAGAAGCAAGATAGAGAACAGACACAATACAATCTCAATTTTATTAAAATATATAATACACATACATACACACCCCATAAGGGAATTAACAAAGTGTTAATACAAGTTAACGTCTACAGAGTTGGCATTTCGATTCAAAGGGGTATTGATGGATGGAAACTGTTTTTATCTTAATAATTTTTTTTTGTTATTTTCTAAATTTTCTGTAATGCATTTGTAATATTTTTATAATAGCAAAAAAATTATTTAAAAAAATACCCAATATGCTCTTAAAACGAAGTCCAAAATGTTTATACTTATTAATTTTCATCTTCACTGTCAAAAGAAAGGAGGCTACTGTTTTTTATTTGCTTTTGTGAATTCTTTTTAACTGAGTCCTGATTATTAATTTCATCTTCATTTGTCTTTTTCTTTTTTGAGCTTGCTGTTATACCTGAATACTTTTCATCTGGGGAACGTTTGACTGGTTTTCGATACATGATTCTTCCATCAGTTGAGGCCGGTTCTTGATCTGCAGTAAAAACAAAGTTAAAGAACTTTCTTTTCCTCTTGTTATTTTGCCTTTATCAGAGAGTCAAATGGCAAGAAAATCTCATATTGTATTGAAGGAAATTCTACAGTTCAGTCTGGTCTTCTCCACTGCCTCTAGCTATATGCAACAAGACATGCAGTCCCTCACTAAAAGCTCAATGAAGTAGTCCAGAGTACTGCCAGTCCTTAACGTTTTCATTTAAATTAACACTTACTTCTCATAACAACCCAATAAGGTGCGCACAATTATTGTCCCCATTTTACCGATGAGATAACTGAGGTTGAGAGGTGAATAACTTGTTCAAAGTCATACATCTGGTTAAGTGTTAAAAGCCAAAGTCTGAACCCTAGGATTGTCTCCTTCAGACATACCACACTATTATATAAAATAATTTCATACTCTAGGCTCCTTAGTTGTTAGAAAAACCAGATTACTTTCAGACTTACCTGCTTTGGCAGCCTTTATTTCAGCTTTAATTTTCATGACTTCTTCAGGTGACAGGTCTCCCTTTTTTAAAACCACCACTTGGGGCTGTTCATCTTCTTTGTCACTGTGATCATCGTCTTCATCTGGGAGCTGAGGCTGGATTCTCTAGGGGAAAACACAAACATGACTTGTAGGTTGCTGACTCCAAACCAAACACAACCCCTGTCTCTGTGAGAAACTAATTACTAACTTGAGAAGGGTAACTTTACCGACTAAATGTGTTTGGCAATACATTTTCAAGTAACTCAGGAGCCTAAGCTGTTAGGTTGGGAAGACTGCCAGCTACCCTCTGGTGCCTATCCAATGGGATTGGTCTTCATCTCAGCAGGAGCCCAGCTTGCAGTTCCCAGTGCCAGAGGCCCTTTGCTTCCCGTACTGCAGGGCTCCCGCCTACTCAGGAGAGTGCTGAACCATATCACTTCTGCTTTTCATCAGTCCTTTTCGCTTCCATCTCTTTTTTTTAATCCTCACCCGAGGACTTTTTTCCATTTTTTGTTCAGATAGAGAGGGAGGGAGAGAGAGAGAGAGAGAAACATCAATGTGAAGGGACACATGGAGTGGCCGCCACCCGCATGACCAACCAGGGACGGGGACAAACTGCAACCGAGGTACGTGCCCTTAGCGGGAACTGAACTCGGGTCTCTCTGTACCGCGGGCAGACGCTCCAACCGCTGAGCCAAACCAGCCAGGGCCTCTTCCATCTCTTAAAGTGCAACAAAAAATAAGTAACCACCACCAAGTACAGAAAGCAGCAAGTAAAAGGAACTCTTTCTCCCACTCTCATTCATCTCTCCTCCCAAAAGCTTGTTTAGGAGTATCCTATCAGCTGTTTTCTAAGTGCATACAATTATGGAGGTATATAAAACATCTTGCGCTTTTCTTTTTAAATTATGAAATTACTTGACATTTTCTTTAATGATATCCATTTATTAACTATTCATTAGTTTTGCCTATTTTTCTCTGAAAGTTTCCAATAAATGACAACAAAGTAGGCAGTTAATAAGTACTTTCAGAAAATGGGAAAGTGAAATAAAATCATTCCTAGTGTTCATTAGATTGAGAATCATTAATTCTGACTTTTGTTTATACAACTGGCTGGAAAACAAGAGAAACAGTATAAGGAGCAATGGCAGCAACCCCTGAGGACTGTTCAAATCCACTCCTGAATTAACTCTCAAGAAGGTGAACAAAATGATTTAGAACTCAATCATATGAGGAACTCCTTTCTTTTCTTTTTGTTAACAGATCACTAGAATGATGATTATATTGCCAAACCATCGAAGAATGAAGTTGGTTTCACACACACAGGAACATAGGGTATCTCGTTTAAGGAAAAGTATGTTGGTTATATAAATAAGCCCAAATTACTGGTATTAATTGGAAAGCTTTTCCCTCCAGAGTTCTTCTAAGATAGCATTCTAAACGATAATCATAAAGGTGTTAACTATGAACACATGATCATCACTAGGACCTCAAGCAAACTATAAAATTAGGTCTCATTTTTCACATTGCTGAATCTATGTCTCTTTTCTCAAACCTCATCCTCTGTCCTCATCCACTATTTTTGGTCCTGGGAATCAGTCATTCCCTGATCATGTCCTCTCTAACCAAAAATGGCTACTTGTTGACTAATGAATATGGTCTCACCTCCATCAGCCCCTCAATCACCTCTGCATACATTCCATAACTCACCATCTCTACCCTTTTACCCACACTGTTCCTTCCATCCCTACCTGCTGACCTATTCATGCTCAAGATTCAATCTAAATATCCCCTCCTCCACGAAGCCTTGCTTGATGACAAGTATAGTCATCTAACCAATTTAACTTTTTTTGAGAGAGAGGGAGAGAAACATCCATGTGAGAAATGTCCATCAGCTGCCTCCCGCACGCCCCCTACTGGGGACTGAGCCCGCAACTCGGGCAAGTGCCCTGAACCGGGAATAGAACCGGGACCTCTCAGTCCAATGGACAATGCTCAGTCCACTGAGCCACACCTGCCAGGCTAACCAATGCAACTTATCACCCACTATTTGGTGCCAGGCACTACGCTAGGTGGTGGGAAAAAAACAGGAATTAAGACTCTAAGTTAGAAATTTTGATTTGGTGGTGGAAATACATAGGAGAGAACGTATTTGCAATGCCAAATGATATGAATTATTACAGACGATAGGACAAAGTGAAGAACAGAGAAGGAATATCTGGGAGAGCTTAAAAAGGCTTCACAGAGGCAGTGACCTCTGAAGACTGAGATGAGGCATGCAGGAAGGTGTTCAAAAATATGGCATTTGGAGATTCCATCTTCTTGTCCTTTTCCAGCCTGACACAGTGCTTGGCTTTGGTACATACTCACTGGATTGAATAATTTCACATAAGTCACTCTGTTTTACTAAGCTCTCGGTGACTCGAGGGGTCGGTCTTAGTGCAAGTGCTAGACACAAAGTGCTAAAAGTTGTTTCTCCATATCTCCGGGTAAGCATGACGGTGGTCTCTTCCTGTCAGGTGGGGCAGTTTTGGTGTGAACCAGTTAGGGCTGAAGCCTGGAGGGCTCAAAAGTTGACGCTCGCTGATCCCGTCCCTAAACTATTCAGATGTGGCTTTTACTTACTTTTCTTTTTCTTTTTTTTGAAACAACAAAGCGTAGGAATAGACCCAGGCCATTCCTCCAAAGATGTTCCAGAATCGAGGCCTGAGGAATCGGGTCATTTGATCGAGTAGCCTCGGTTTATCCGGAAAACGGGACGACACTAACTTTGGGTTTTGGAATAAGCGAGTGAGAAAGAAGAGACAGGAAAGTGATCGTTCTTAACCATCTCCTAAGGACGGGGCGCTTTACCGGGGTCAAATCATTTCCGAGACCTGAACAGCACTCTGAAAACGAGAGGTGCCCGGGCACCACAGGCTGTACTCGTTTGCCCAGCCTGGGGTCCGAGGTCCGCCCGGACGGTGGGTCGGGCGCGGGGGAGGGGCGTGACCTGTCAATACCTGGCCTCCAGGCTAAGCAGAAGCCAGAAGTGGCGGGGCGGGCCGCGTTTCCGCGCCGCGACCGGCCCAGGCTCACCTTGGTCTCTACGGTGGGCCCTTCCCTGTAGCCGACCTGTTCCTTGAAGCGGGCCAGGAACGCCGGCTCGGCGGGCCGCACGTACGACACCTGGTTCCGCTTGCTCATGGCCGCTCAGGGGCAACACCGGCTCCCGGACCCTCGAGATTGCGCCGAGGCGACGGCGCCCGCTCATGACGTCACGTCGGCCCCGCCTCCCGGCGGAGGGCCGGGCAACATGGCGGCGTCGGTGCCGGCGTCAACGTCTCCGCGGGCGCCAAATTCAAATCCGCGGCCATCTTGAGCGAGCGGAATCCCGGCTGGCGGCGCGGCTGCCGGTGCGCGTCTCCCTGCGTTGGTCTGGGGTCCGGAGGTGAGGGCGCCATGGCGCCCGGCTCCAAAAGTAAGTGTGGGGTCCCGGCTTCGTTGTCCGGCCCCGCCCTCCCGCTGGGTGTGAAAAGCGGGAGCAGGCAGCGGCTGGCGCGTTTGGAATCTTTGCCCCTCGAAGACACTGACGGGACAGCTTTCTTCCCTTCCGTCTGTGCTCGGGGCGCACGCAGACCAGAGAGAGGAGGTCCTGGGGCGAGCCGTGAGCCAGGGAGCGCGGCTGGCTCTCCCCTTCTCACTCCTCCGTTTCCTGGCGGGTCTCATCCCGCGTCCCGACCGGGGCTGCCCCTCGGCACCCTCGCCGGAGGGTGGGCCCTGCCCATGTCCACGTCGCCCACCTTCCTGCGGGGGAGAGCGTACCCGTGTCCCAAGCACGGCAAGCACGTCTTTCTGCTTGAAGGGCCCGCTGCACACTCTTAGAAAAGGGACTTTGAAAGCACAGGTCAGCCGTGTCTTTATCGTCTCAATCCCCATTTTTCTCCCCAAGGAGACCCCTCCAATTTCTCACTTTTTTCATGGAAAGGAGCATTGTCCGTTTTCCTTTTGATACACTCTTTACTTTTCGCTGATTTCTGGGTTCTTTTTTGTTGCTCTGTGTTCTACACGCCCCGCCTCTTACATTGCCTGGTCCTTTACAAGTCTTGTTTTTTTAAAGCTGATTTTGAGCCGATCTGCTGGATCTCAGGGAATGGTGTGAATGGTAATGAGGAGAAGCCTATGAAGAAATTGTGAACTTTTGGTATCTGAGCCTTCCAACAACATTAATGTTTCTAGCTGTCAATTTTAATTCTCTGCTTTGTTTGTTGTTTCATGAACCTTTAAGGTCATTTAGGACATTACCTGAACACCTCCTTAAGCTCCCTTTTCGCCTAAAAATGTTTCTTTTCCTCCCCTGTTTTTAGTATTCAGGGGATATTAGCACACAAATTGATACATTATTGGACCAAAATGTTCATCATGCTTTGTGTGCAACCACTTGAGTCAGTAAACCTGGACTCAAGCAAGAGAATTGATGTCTGTGATATAATTAGTGCCAAGTGGTACATGTATGTCTATTAAAAGACTCTGCCCTGTCTATATGCATCACTTTCTACAAGTGATAGGATCAAGGGTATTCACAGTGCCTCCTTTGTGATGGTGGTGATGTCCATGGGGAACTCTACCACTCCATTAAGTTTGTTGGCAAAGTTGGTGTTGGTGACATCCCAGGTAAGTGCTCCTTGCATTCCCAGCGGTCCGGAGACCTGGAGCATGAAGTGAGAACACGGGCGGAGAGAGCCCATGCAGTGCTCTCTGCAGCTTTTACTTTGTGCCCATGAAGGTTATTTCTTGTGACACCTAAACAGGAAATATAAAGTGGTGCTCTTGGTCACCCAGAAGGACCTCCCCCTCGTGCCTCATCTCATGGTCCTAAAGGAAAATTCAGCCAGTGACTGTGATAAGGGAGAAAAAAAAGTGGAAAAACCATCAGAGAGGCAAGTCATTTGCTTGAGATGGAAATATTGGTGGCAGAGCCATATCTTTACTCCACATCTTCTGACTCCAGGAGCAGACTGTTGCCATGTTACAAGGACATCAGGATGATATTGCCTATTGGACATCAAATTGGAGGTGTCAAGTAGGCAATCAGATGTAAGAGTATGGGGCACAGGAGAGTGGTTCCAGGAGAAGGTTGAAATCTGGAAATTATCAGTAGATGTATAGCATTTAAAACCATGAGACCAGATGTCGTCTGGGTGGATAGAGGAAGATCAAGACCTGGGCCCTGGAGCACCCACTGTCAAGAGGTCAGGGAGCTGAGGAGACTGAGAGAGAGTGTCAGCAACTGCAGAGCAGGCTGGATAAGAATGGAATTTTTATATTGCACTTTGAAACACCTTTAATGACTTCTTACTTTTTTTCTAGCTGAGTTACGCAGTGAGACAAATTGTCAGCCTAAAGAGCCAAGGTAAGAAAAGGTCTTGTTAATGAGACCAAAATAATTATGGATGTAGTTTTTCTAAAATAATCATTTAACATAGTAAAGGATACTGGAAACAAGGGATACTTGTTTCAGAATTAAGCTTGGTCCTTGGCTACCTGGAAATCTGGAAAAATCACATTTTCCTACTCCCTGCCTCTCTCACCTTCCAGGTTAAAAGATGGAATCAATAACAATTCTCCCTTGGATGACTCATTTTGTTATTGCTATTGAGAGGATATTAGAGCCCAGCCAGTATGGCTCAGTCGTTGATTGGTGACCCATGCACTGAGAAGTCACTGGTTTGATTCGCGGTTAGGGCACATGCCAGAGTTGGGGGCTCGATCCCTGGTAGGGGGTGTGCAGGAGGCAGCCAATCAGTGTTTCTCATTGATGTTTCTATCTCTCTCTCCCTCTCCCTCCCTCTCTCTCTCTAAAAATCAATAAAATATATATATATATTTAAATATTTTTTTCTTTATTGATTTTAGAGAGAAAGGAAGGGATAGGGAGAGAGAGATAAGAACATCAGTGAGAGAGAACATCGATTGGCCACCTTCTGCATGCCCTCCACTGGGGGTCGGGCCCACAACCTGGGTATGTGCCCTGACCGGGAATTGAACTGGCAACCTCTTGGTGCATGGGTCTATGCTCAACCACTGAGCCACATTGGCCAGGCAATAAAAATATTTTTTGAAAAAAGAGGGAAATTAAGAGACAAGCAGTGTTTGGAGCTATTTTGAATCACCTCCCTTTGAGTTGATTTCAAGTAAAGGTCTGTGAAAGTGACTGTCCTGAAGCAAATCAGTAAAGGGTGTGGGTCATGTGGGACCCTTAAGGAGGAAAATGTAAATGGGGTAAATCATAGGCTTGGTTGGGGAAACTTAGTATAAAAACATTAGAGGTGCCCCGGCCGGTTTGGCTCAGCGGTTAGAGCGTGGGCCTGTGGTCTAGAGAGACCCCGGTTTGGTTCCCGCTAAGGGAGCGTACCTCAGTTGCAGTTTGTCCCCGGCCCTGGTTGGTCATGCGGGAGGCAGCCACTCGATGTGTCCCTTTCACGTCGATGTTTCTCTCTCTCTCTCTTCCTCTCTCTACCTCCCACTCTATCTGAACAAAAAATGGAAAAATGTCCTCGGGTGAGGATAAAAAATAAAAACATTAGCCCTGGCCGGTTTGGTTCAGGGGTTAGAGCGTCGGCCTGCAGTCCAGAGAGACCCGGGTTTGGTTCCTGCTAAGGGCATGTACCTCAATTGCAGTTTGTCCCCGGCCCTGGTTGGTCGTGTGGGTGGCAGCCGCTCGATGTGTCCCTTTCATGTTGATGTTTCTCTCTCTCTCTCTTCCTCTTTCTCCCTCCCACTCTATCTGAACAAAAAATGGAAAAAATGTCCTCGGGTAAGGATAAAAATAAATAAATAAATAAATAAATACAAACAAACATTAGAGGCAATATGAGCCTCCGATCCATTTTTTGTTTTCTTCAGTAAACTCAACTGCTACATTTCTTTGTCTTCAGTAATGAAGGTGATGCCATCAAAGTTTTTGTACGAATTCGTCCACCGACAGAGGGTTCTGGGTCAGCTGATGGAGAGCAAAACTTATGCTTAAGTGTGCTCTCCTCTACAACTCTTCGGCTGCACTCCAACCCGGAGCCCAAGACCTTCACGTTTGATCATGTTGCTGACATGGACACCACTCAGGTAATGATCACTTTGGAGATGTAACTTTCCTTTTGGAACATATAAGATTCTGTTATTTGGAGGATTTTGTTTCTGGTCTATTTAGTTTGATAAATCTCAGATAAGGAAGCTCAAACATTCCATAAGTATTTTAAATTTAATTTTATTAATAATTGTTCTTCTTCCTTAAACTTTGTACCAGAATGACAAGACTCCTTCACTGTTCCACTCCATCCATTGATGGAGTTTAGTGAAGGTGTACTTTTTGGAGTCACTTGGATAATTGATTAGTATAGTTGAACTGCATAATTTTTTTTTTTTTATCCTCATCCTTACCCGAGGACATTTTTTCATTTTTTGTTCAGATAGAGTAGGAGGGGGAGAGAGAGAGAGAAACATTGACGTGAAAGGGACACATTGAATGGTCGCCACCCACACGGGGAGAAACTGCAACCGAGGTACGTGCCCTTAGCGGGAACCGAACCCGGGTCTCTCCAGACCACAGGCCGACACTCTAACCGCTGAGTCAAACTGGCCAGGGCTGCATAATTATTTTGTTGTTGTTGTTAATACTCACTGAGGATATTTTTCTATTGATTTTTAGATAGAAGGGAAGAGAGGGACGGAGAGAGAGAGAAACATTATGTGAGAGAGACACACCAATTGGTCGCCTCCCATATGCTCCCTTACTGGGGCCAGGGACTGAAACTGCAACCCAGGCACGTGCCGTTGACTGGGAATTGAAATCTTGACTCTTTGGTCTGAGGGCCAATGCTCTAACTGTTGAGCCAAACCGGCCAGGGCTGAAATTCCTAATTTATTTATTTATTTTTGGTACATGCCCCTAGCTGGAACCGAACCCGGGACTCTCTGGTCCGCAGGCCGATGCTCCAACCGCTGAGCCAAACCGGCCAGGCCTGAACTTCCTAATTTAAGGGGAATGTCTTAGCCTTAGCAGCTATAACAAAAATATCATAGACTAGGTGGCCCAAACAAAAAACACTGATTTTTCACAGTTCCTGGAGGTTGGAAAGTCCAAGATATCAAGGCCAGGAGATGCAGTGTCTGGTGAGGACTCACTTCCTGGCTTGTAGACACCTGCCTTCTCACCCTCCTCAGTGGTGGAGAGATGGAGGGGTAGAGGAGAGTATG